GTGCGTGCAACACTAGCAGCACTAGATAACTGTATTGTACAAAAAGTATGTCAATCTTTATACAGAGACATAAATATAATATAAATAAAGGGTTAAACTAATTTCATGTTGCATGAAAGAATATGTCTTATGTTGTGACAAATTTAATGTGGGTCTCAATAAAAAATAAAAAGTAAAAAAAAAAATAGGGTTTTGATTTTCTCATGCGATAGAAGAAAAATTTCTCATATTGCACGAAATCGAAGAGTCACTGGTAGGAAAAAACAATTCTCCTACGACATGAGAAAATGTTTTCCCAAAAAAATAATTAAGATGAGATTCACTTTAATTTTGTTACATCCACGTAAGAGAATTATCTCCTACTACATAATATTAGTTTAGCCCATAAACAAAATGGCTATGGATAGGAATGTTAAACGAACCAAAGGCCTTTGTCTCGGCTCGTGAAGGTCTGAGCTTACATGTATAAAATTGGTTGTTGCACCATGTTTGAACTTGTATAAAAGCTCGTTTAATAAAATGCCTCAGACTCCAATTCAAAAGCTCGGCCTTAGAGCCTCACAGGCTGACCTAGTATATTATTATTATTATTATTTTATACTTCTTGGAATAGCTCTCTCTTTCTCCTCAATTTATTTCACCTCATTTTATGGTTAAAAAGACTTTTTGAATAATTTTGTTCTATTTTGTGCTATTTGGATATACATTGAATTTATGAATATTTATAGAATTACTAGTGTTGTTGATTGTATATCTTGTTTGGATAAATTTTTGTTGTCATATTATTTTTAAAGAGGCGAAACCAGACTTTTATTTTTTGTAAACGAGACATGCCACAGACCGATAATTATGTTTATAACAAGTAACAGACTTGGTCAGTCTGACACATTTAAACACAATTTTAACCTTTTAAGATCAAAGTTCGGCTCGTTAACACCCTGGCTATGGATACCAACACTTTTCACATTTTAAAAACCCCAAAAGGAATCATTTTATTTTTTAATTTTTTTATTAGACGAGGGATATAACTTTACTACGTGATCCTTCTATGTGGATTTGTAGAAGTAAAAAGGACAGGATCAAGTTTGATATACCCCAGCGACTCCAGTACGTGAGCTTTTATCGGCCATTAACTATTATAAATTGATTCCTCTTGTTTTGCAAACAAGAAGAAGAAATATATGCAAAAAGCATATCTTCCTTTAAGACCTAACTTTCTCAAAATGATAAAAAAAAAAAAAAAAAAAAAAAACACTTTTTTTTCGAATGTGAGATAAGCCTAGAGCCCTAGACAACTCAAATGATAAAGTGAATGATAATTTAAATGAAAATTGTTTAAATTTCAACAACTACGTGCTTCATATGGGTTATAAAAACTTGAAAATAAACCTGGTATTCATCGATATATTATATTTTGTATACTTTTTGTTTTGAATATTAATTTTAAAAGAAGTTAACCTTCAGGCATTGGCAGACCCACATTGGGGCAATTGTCTGCAAGTGCACACAGAAATTTTTGAAGATTTTTTTTTTTTTGAAGAAGAAGAAGACCATGCAGGTACCATGGCAATGGGAGAAATGCATCTATGAACTTTGAAGGGAAACGTGTATGTTGTTATTATACGTCCTGTGATCGTTACTAGTACTTACTGAAAACCTTTCCCTAAGGTGTGAGGTAAATTACCAAATTTTATGTCATTTATTCTAGGAAAAAATATTTGTTTTTTTAAATGACATAACTTATATCCTTTCACTCTCACAAAGAGGTGAGATTCGCACATTTATATCTCTCTCTCCTCTTTTATCTATTTCTTTCTCTCACTTAAAATGACACAATTTTACATCCTTTAAAATGATACATGTTTTTTCCTTTATTATATCCATGCATTGAGTTTCATTATCCACCATTTTATGTTATGCTTTGCAGAAAGTGGTATTTAGAAATGTAAACACACAACCCAATTTTTTTTTGCCTTGGGAATTTTGGTCAAGATCATAGACTGTTTGATTCTTCCTTACGCTAAAGGAAAATTAACATGCATCCTTGTTGATCTTACATAGTTTTTGATGCGGTGAGTACTTAAATAAAAGACTTTCTTCTTAATTAGCAGTCTAGCCCCTTCACCACTGACTCCAGGTATGGCTTATGTGTTTCTTCCCAATTGGCTCGAAGCTGCCACATTTTTGTTGAGATTGTATATACATCTTTTCGTTTGATTAACAATTTATTGCTTCTTCAAAGTTTTTTAGAATAATGATTTCTTTTGCAAAATTTAGAATATTAAATTATTTTTTGAAATATTATTGGCATTAGTTTGATCTACGAATAACAATCATTAAATGATATCAATTTGGTCACATTTCTTTTAAAGTGATGGAATAATATTTCAATAACGAGATTTCAAAAAACTCTCTAACACCATAATAGTCTTTGGGCCCACTTTCTCATTGACAAGTATGGTAGGAACAATGATCCTAAGCGCAACTTTGTAGCCAAAAATAGCACTTTATCTTTTTAGATAAAAAATTTATAAGACCCGGAATAAGATGTCTCAACATTTAAAATGAGAGGTTGGAAATGGCAACTCTATTTTTTTCTAGCCTAATAGCTGAGGAGGTTGGCAAAGTAGTTTATTTGACATTGCCTCTACCAAACCTCCTCAATCTGACCTTGTTCTCAAAGTTAGCGAGATTGTGGAGACAACAACGGGAGATTGGAATTGAACTTATATCTTAGTCTTTCTTGATAACGCAACCCTTTCTAGATTGAGAATTATTGTTCCCCCTGTTGATAGAGACGTTGTTGATTGTTTAAAGTGGAAGAGAAACAGTCTTAGTAAGTCACTTGTGAAAGAATGCTTACTGCCATCTCACTGAAACTAACACCAACGCTGATAAGCTTTGGTCCTCCATCTGGCAGTGGAAAGGACCTTATAGGATTGCAGTTTTTCTTTGGATGACTTGTTTAAACAAGTTCCCTGATAGAGACAGAACTTGCCTTTGGAGTATGGGTGATCAATTTTGTCATTTTTGCCACAACTTCCCTGAAACAATCATCCACACGCTTTGTGACTGCAGTTTTGCTAGAAATATTTGGGAAAATTGGTTTGCTGGAATCATTCCTAGTGATTTATTCTCCTTAGAATGAGAGGCTTGGTTCAAACTCAGTCTCCTTCAGTTTATCTCTATCTTTTTTTTGGCTTTCTTGGAAAGAGATTTTTTATGTGACTTGTTGGTTTCTTTGGAAATGGAGAAACTCTATTATTTATGAGGGGAATTTTTCAATGCCTTAGGACCTTAATACCATATTCTCATGTATTTGGCTGATATGAAGAAGTGATGTGGAGCCGCTCCCTTTACTGTTAACTCTGACCTACCTAGCTCTTTTTGCATTTCAGGGAAAATTTCTCGCCATTTTATCTCTAGACTGTTTGTAGATGGAGCTTTCAATTTTATTAGCAACAAAGGGGCATGTGGTGGTTTCATTTGTTTTTTATCTGGAGATTGGAAGGGTGGTTTTGCCTTTAATATTGGCCCTTGCCCAACCTTAGAAGTGGATTTGTGGGATTTACTTAAAGGTTTGAGTCTTACTAGTAATATGAATTGCTCTAATCTCTGAGTTTTGTGATTCAAATGATGTTTTATTGTGTTTAGAGACCCAGTCTGTTCACTGTGGTTACTCTTCTCTGATAAATCACATCAGAAGTGCTGCCCAGTTACTTGGATGCCTTCACCAAGACTTCATTCCCAGAGAGCTCAATGCGTGTGTGGACGGTTTAGTTAAATTTGGTTTTTCTCTACAAACTGAAGAACTGTTTTTTTTTTCCTCTCCCTCTGCTAGTATTCTTCCTTTTTGGAATATAACTAGATCTAAGATGATGATGGAACATGTTGTTTCTGACGTGCAAGATCTCACTTTGTAGTTTTTCTTTGGGCTTTGCCCTCCCTTTTTATCAAAATAAAAATAAAAAAGTTACTTCTAAATCTGACTCGAGGATACCAAAAAAAAAAAAAAAATTACTCCAATTTTGACTGCTACATATATAAAAGTGGATGGGTCTTATTTTTTCAATTTTTCTTTTCTTTTCTACGCACTATTTTGTATGTCTAAGAGGAACATTAACTCGTTTGTTAATTAGTTCTTTTTTTTTGGTATCTTGTAATTAGTTCTATATTAATATGTTATATTATTCATCTTATAACATAATAAAACCGATAAATTTTTTAATAGATATTTAGAGTTTAAAAGATTTAACTTATTAACATAAATAAATAAAAAATAAAACTTTTACACCCAAGAATAAAAAAAAAGAATAAAATATCTAATGCTCACTAAAATAATGTTGATTTGGGTTGAAAAAATGAAAAAATAAAAAAATATTATTATTATAATTCTAGAATAAATTAAAATTACAAAAATACATCATAATTTTCGCTCCAAAACAACGTCGTTTCGTTGAATATTAGTCAAAATTTTACAAAGTAATTTTAGAAAAATCGAACCCATAAAAAAATCATCTTCTACACATATAAAAATATGGAATCCATATTTTTTTTTCTCTCTCTTCTTTATATCACTTCACATTGGGCTTATATAATTTTAGGGAAAAGTGTCTATACATTTAAATTACACAACTTACATCCTTTCACTCTCACAAAGAGGTGGGACCCACAACTTTATTTTTTTTGTCAACTCTCTCTCCTCCTTTATCTATCTCTTTCTCTCTCTTAAAATGACACAACTTTACATCCTTCAAAATTATACACACTTTTCCCATAATTTTATGTGTATATAAGAAATAAAATTATGTGGTACAAAGAAATAATAATCTATTAAAATTAACATGATCATGTTTTTCACTACTAAGTATAATTTTTATTGATTACCAAAAAAAAATAAATAGAATTTTTATTTAAAAAAGAAAAAAACCAAAAATGAATTTTTGTTACTTACTTTTGTTGGGGTGTTGGGATATATTCAGATCCGCGAAGAGTGAACATCGAAGAAAAGCGAAAAGAAAGATGGAAGAAGAGAAGGCTGCAGCATACTATGACGAGCTTACCCGAAAAGGTGAAGGAGCCGCCAGGTTCAAGCAAGGCCTCGGTTTTTCGGCCTCCGCATCAAACGACGACGTTCCCAAACCCGGTTCAGCTCTCGTTTCTTCCTCTTCATTCCTGTCCAAATTCGTCAAAGCCTCGAGCCCTTCCAAAGCATCGGAGTCAGACAAGCAAGCGCATCTCCAATCCATTCAGAACAAGCTCAAGAAAAAACCCTCTTCCGAATCTAGGGTTTCTGAGAAAACCAACCACGGTTCTTCTTCAAGCAGAGTGAGGGATAGCGATAGAAGTAGAAGGCGAAGCAGAAGCAGAAGCAGAAGCACGAGCAGAGATAGATACAGGGAAAGGGGTAAGGAGTCGAGGAGGCGAAGCAGGAGTAGAGAGAGATACAGGCATAGAGATCGAGATAGAAGGAGAAGCAGAAGCGATTCGGATGAGGATAGAGATAGGCGGCGAAAGGAAAGAGAGAGAGGGAGACGAAGGAGTAGAAGCGTTTCTCCTCGTCAACAACGAAGGTCGGAGAATAGAGGTAAAGTGAGTGAAATGGGGAAGGGGAAGAATGATGTGGTTGATTATGCGAAGCTAATTGAAGGTTATGATAATATGGTACGTTCACGGCCTTCAATTTCATCATGAATTTATTTTATTTTTATTTTTTTGTTTAATTATTTTTTTGTTGCCATGGTCTGGATAGAAAAACGGTGTATTTTCACGTTATGGAATAGGGCTAGTTAATGCATGATTGGGTTTTGATGTTCAGAATAATAAGCTGAAACAGAATGAATTTTGTTTAAGCTGCATTCTCTAGCGAGTCATTATAGTGGTGAATACAGGACTCAGTTTGTGTTATGCTTTTATATTTCAATTTGAATGAATATGCCATGTCAAACTGATTCTCTGAATGATGTGAGTAATGGACTTACTGTTTTATAATTTGTAATTAATGTTTTAAATCCCCACTATGTTATCATTAAAAAAAGGGGGGCTGTGAAGTCATTAGGATTTTTCAATTTGAGATGTTACTCTTTCATGAGTCATGAGCACCTATCTTTGCTATTATCAACAGTCATCTGCGGAAAGAGTCAAAGCCAAGATGAAGCTTCAACTATCTGAAACTGGTAAGTCTATACATGGAAAACTTGGGTTTGTTTGGTTTAAAAAAAAAGTTTTTTGTTTTCATTTCCTGTTTTCAAAGATTTGTACTGGAAATGATGAAAACAACATTTCCTTAAACCCTATTTCTGGCATTTCGTATACACCCTGCTTTCACCATTTCCTGAACAAAAATTTGAAAACAGTAAATGAAGTGAAAACAGGGTGGAAATTTTGTAATTATTTGTGAAAACCGGAAATGGAAACAGAAAAGATTTTCTTAATCCTAGTAGGCCCGTAATTTTTGGGTTGCATTGTCTCCTTGTCTTATCTTCGGGTGGTATGATCATTAGGTATCAGAAACTGAATTAGGTTGCTACTATCTAGTGAGATATATCGGGCTAGGGATTGTGAAAAGTGTTTTAATTATTTCATACTTGAAGTGTGTATAGAAATAATTTTTGCAATTTTTCTTTGGATATTTTTCAATGTAGCTGCACAGGATTCAGGAAAAGGTGTTGGCTGGGAGCGATTTGAGTTCAACAAGGATGCCCCTCTAGATGATGAGGAAATTGAAGGTCAGGCTTGTTTGGCAATATTGTTATTCTAAATAAATTTGTGGGATTGCATTCCCTTGCTACTCATGAATTCTTCAGTTTTATCCTCTCTGTTTTTAATTCCTCCATGGAGCTGTAAGCACAATTTGTTTTGTTAGTTGGTTGTTCTCCTTTCTTAGAAAGAGTCATTAAAATACTTACATCATGTAAAATTGTCATTTCTATATAGATATTTTTTTTTAAAAAAAAAAAAAAAAGAGCGAGCCTGAAGCAGTGGTAAAGCTTCTCCTTTGTAACTGAAATTGTTCGAATCTGGGAAATAACCTCTTTGCAAATATGCAAAGGTAAGATTGTATACAAGAATTACCTCATCCCTACCCTCACTAGTCGGGATTTAATAGGGAGTTTAGATTTATTTATTTATTTACTTTTAGATAGACTTTTTTTTTGTCTCCTTGTGGTTTTCCTGGTAATGTAATTAACATAGTTTCCATATTAGAGTGAATGTTTATGCATTTTGTTGCATGGAAATTAAAGTGAAGCCTTGTCAATTTAACTCAATATCGACTGCTTAAATATATGCTTGTCAATAATTATACTTGTAAATTATTTGTTCGTATGCTTACAGCTTATTAATAGTTACACTTTTGCTTGTAATTGACAATGAGTAATAGGGGATTTGGGTTCAACTTAATATAACTGAGTGTACATGACCACCTATCTGCAGTTGCTGAAGATGATGCATCCTTGGTCAAGCACATTGGCCAGAGTTTCCGATTTTCTGCTGTTGAGGTGTCCTCTCATCTTTATGCGCTCGAAGTCAATTTAGTTCCTTGATGATGTACATGCCTGATCTATGTTTTGGAAGACTTAATTCAAATTTAATTCATATTGTTACGTAGGCAAGAAGGGAGGAACAAATCCAAGCTGCTCATGAGGAAGCTATGTTTGGTGCTACAGCAGTTCCGCCTCCCACAAGTACAGACAGCGAGCCTGAAAGGGAGAGCGAGGAGGTTGATAAAAAAGGCCTTGTTACAAGCCTTTTAAATGAAACAGTAAGTGATTTCTATGTCACAATGCACATAGATAAGTGTGACCAATAATTTAGGTAACCCGTGTATTTGGTTTCAGGTGCTAGCCAAGCGAAAAGGGTCTTGGCGTGATCGGGTTCGTAAGGCATAGAATTTGCACATGGAAGTTGATGCTGCTGACGGAAAAGCGGACCAAATGTCACATGGAGTTTAGAACTTAGTCTTTGGATTTTGCAGCTGGAATTACTGTGCAAATTTGCTGGTTAGTATATGGGGTGTGGTGGGTGGGCTCTAACCATGTATACAGCTTGTATCTAGTTCCTATGCAACTGCCATTATATTTGCAAGCATATATCACTAGTAAGGCAGGCTATTTGTGCTAATATTTATCATTTGAAAAAGAGGAAGCGGGATGTTTGAAAATTTGTTTTGTCTTTTGTCTGTTAGTTTCAGTGCAAATTTTAGAGGGAAAGCTACCTTGTACTTGTAGAATAGTTTTAAACAAATACCGTTTTACACCCATCACCTTAGATTTGCATAGTATTCAGCACCTTATTAAAATTGGTTTTTTCTTTTTTTTTGTTTTGTTTTTGGGTGTGTTTAAGTATTTTGAGTGGGGAGGAAAATTTCCAAAATTTCCTTTCTAGTTAGTAAACCCCTTCAAGTCGATGATAAAATAATTTCATTTTGAACTTCGTCGTTTTAGTCAATTGTAGTTGTGAATCTGTTATTAATTTAAAGTGCCACTTTTTGTACCCTAAAAAATTGTCTCTCTAAATCACAGAATGTTCTGGTTTAGCATGTGTACCAAATGGTATATATTGCCAATATTGGTAAGGTGCTGTTGGCATTAATCTAAAGCATTTTTGAAATTTATCATTTAGCAAAATAGCTGGCGTTATCATCCATTTTTTTTCGCACATCACAGTTGTTACTTTTTTTCTTTTTTTAAAAAATAAGTTATGTGTTGAAATGCATGTATTTTTTCAATTTTATCATAAAAAAGTGGTTTAAGCAAAATATAATGAAATAAATAACATTTTTGTTGGCTCAAGTAGCACAAATGCAATTGTCTTTTGACAAATCTATTGATTTTTGTTAACGTGTTATCATAATATAAGTTAAGAAATTTTAAATAAAAATTATTAATTGCAAAATATATAATATCTCAAAATTTGTAAAAATATCTAATATTTTTAAGTAATTAATAAATGATAATAAATAATTTTTACTATTTAATAATACATTTTAACAAAAATAACGCTTTTATTTATGCATCAATTAAATGCTTGAGAGTGAGAAAATCCCCACGTAATGGGCTACTTGTGGAACATATGATTAGGAAGAAAGACAACGAATGGAGTAGGTAATTAATATTCTTATGAAATCAATTTCTTTAGGTATTGTTACTTAGGATGGGCAAAGGAAATGGATAACAAATTAGACAAGTAAATTATGATCAACAAATTTGAAGTTAAATATGTTTAAATATAGAGAATACTTATACAAATGAGAAAAATGTTAAACTCCTAGTTCGGTCACAACCACGATGACTTATGTCCAACCTTCAATCACTACAATGGTTGTTCCATCATCAATCAAGTTTAAAAGGTGCTTGAACAAATTACTACAACTTCTGAGATTTTGGTTCTTGATCACCTTACGCTTTCACCCAAATTTCTAAGGCAATGGGCTACCTATCCAACACTTAAGTATCTAATACGAAAGTGTTTAAGAATAATCAATTATTCTCAAAATACATATTATACAAATTGAAGGCTTGTATATGTTGATAATATCACAAGAATGATGCTCAAGTGTTTTAATGTTCAATAAGAGAGAGAATCAACAATAAATGTGTTTGATTCAAGATAATAATCGAAATAGTTTTATGATCAATGAAACAATGATTAAGAGAGATTGGAGGCATAATAAATAAGTATATATAGATTTTCAAAATATAGTCGTTAGAATGATTATTGATTAGTATATATTCAAATATTTTCCATGGAGGGTTCAAATATTGTCTTATGAAAAAGGAAGTATTAGATTACTTATCCAAAGGTAATCCAAAACTTTTTGCTACGGTAAAATATTTAATTAACTGTGGAGAAAGTATTCAAATACTTTATCAACAAAAATTATTTTGCAGCAAATTTGATTTTAAATGCATTTTAACTTGCTTTTAACTACTTTATATGAAAGATTTTGACTGGTTTAAGTTTTAAAAGCATATCAAAGATCTTTTCAATAGGTCTTTTTTTTTTTTTTAAAGCAAGTATCTAAAGCAATGAATTATGCTTGAATAAAACAAGTTTACTTTGAGCTCATTCATGCAATTTTGATCAACTACCTTTATATTTGAGTCTAAGTTCTATAAATGTACTATTTGTAGGTTCTTAGACTTAGGTACTTCTATTGTAACTTGATCATTGATATCTTTTTGGACTTTATCATATGTCTTGATAGTTTATGTATGTGTTGACTTGTTCAATTATTTTCCTTTGACTTTTTTTTTTTTATAAATCTTTTGACTTCTTTTTTATTGTTGCAAGTAGTACCCCTCTTGGAGTCTCTTTCTATATTTGTTTGTTACCATCAAAATTCTTGCATTTTTGAATTCTTTATTTTGAATGCATTAATTCAACAGCGATGCATAGAATATAAGGTATTCTAATTAGTTTAATGAATTTTTTTTTCTTACACAATGCCACATGTCTTAGAGTTTATATTTAGATTAATTAATTTTGTGTCAAAAAAAATTGAGATCGGCTAGGGAGATATGAGTGCCTATGACTACGAGATCTGCAACTTCACCAGAGGTTGTGATAGGAGTTGATATTGCCATTTTTGAGCAACGATGACTATTTATAAGTGAGGACATCATTATAAATGATAATGGTTTAATCTATTTTGTAATCATATGAAAATGCTTTTGTGTTTTCTACAAAATATTGTGCTCTCAAATTAAGATTGGATTGTGATCGGAACAGGTTTTTACAACTTGGCCGATCATGTGATCTTCCTCTACACAACCTGGAACCGTCTTGGGTCAGAGCATCTCGCAGTTGGGCCGCTTTATCCCATGGATCTTTTATGGAATGAAATGGAGGGTGTACCTGCAAGACACTCCAACGCTCAAGTCAGTTATGGTTCAAGCAGGATTTATTATGTAGGAGAAGATGATGTACCTTGTGGTTAATACATGTATTTATAGCGGAGTGATGTGTGCTTGGCAGATGCCTTTCTTCATGGTGAAGGCAAAGGTTCCTTGGTGCCAAAATAGCATGGCTGTCATGATTAAATGTTGAGGAGCTTGTTGTCAAGGAGTCTTTAATATTATGGTGCTTGCTGTCATGGAGTCTTTAATATTATGCAGCTTGAAGATATGGGCTTTGCAGCCTTTGTGGACTAAAAGCTTTGCTTAATGGTGAAGACCTTTGGGTTGGGCCTTGTATTTGTATAGTATTTGTCCAGATCAGAAGCCCCCAACTCGTTGCTTATGCCGAAGGCATGAGTAGCGAGATGTATAAGTTTGCGAGTTGGCATATCTGTTTATCAATCTGGAAAATTCATTGCGCTTGTTCCTTTATCTCGAACTATGGTCTGTACTTTGTATGGGTGCTTGAGAGCTTCATAATTGTATTATGCACTTGTATACAGTTCATAATTCATATATTTTGCATACCTTCCTATTTTGCATGCTCTGAGGTTTGATGTCGCTTAGTTTGGACTTGATGTTTGCCAGAAGTATCGCTTTGGAAGAAGTTCTAACCAATTAAGGCTTTTACCTTCCTTCGTTTTTGAGTGCGCGTTGGAGGAATTTCAATATCTTCATTGCGAGAGAGCTTAGAGGGAGTTTTATTAGCTTCCTTTCATTATTGGAGGATCCTTTTGAGGGATCCTTGAGATTGGAGGATCTTTATAAGGGATCCTATTGATTGGAGGATCCTTTTGAGGGATCCTTGTGATTGGAGGATCATTTTGAGGGATCCTTGTGATTGGAGGATCATTTTGAGGGATCCTTGAGATTGGAAGATCATTTTTAGGGATCCTATTGATTGGAGGATCCTTTTGGGGGATCCTGTTATTTGGAGGAAGTTTCATTAGCTTCCTTTCATCTTCATCGCGCATTGCGCATTGGAGGAGGTTTTATTAGCTTCCTTTCATTCAAGCCTAAGCTTAAGAGCTTTAGGCGCTATCAGCATGATGTGGACGAGGTTCATATATCTTTTGTTGGGTAGAACCTATAATTTTCACAGATCTCACAAAATAATAACATCATATCATGGATATGATAATTGTAACAAGATTATGTTAAATTAGTTCAAAATAATAATGTTGCTGATAGGAAATGTAGCATTTGTTTTTGAGTTTGTCTGCGTTTCACGCGAGATTTTTGTCTCCTCCTTTTGGCAGTCATGGAGCCCTGCAATCTCTTATGGATTTCACAATAGAAGTAGTTAAGATAACTCATGATAAGAGTATATAAATCAGATAAACTTTTCGAAGTCTATCTGCATTCTCAGTGAGATTATTATCTTCATTGTTCCTCATTCATGGGTCCCTGTAACTTTCATGAGTTTCATAACAGAGACACAAGATTGTCAAAATAAGTCATATATGTCACAATTTGTATCGCGTGAGCACCCTACAAGTTTATGTAATCTCGTAAGAAGTATGATCACAATAGTGATTAAATCATATAAAGATTTAATACATGATAATCTGTCAGGCCTTTGTCATATTTCACCCCTTGTAACAGGACTTGGAGAAGTACTGGAGAAGCACTTGGCGAGATTTCAATACATCTTGCAATATATGGAGAAGCATCGCGCTAAGCATGAACCTTGTTCTGTTATACTATATATATTGTTCATGTATGTGCAGCACAATACATGCTTTTAATTATAAAAAAGGACACCTAAGCAACCAATAAGATGTTTTTTGCGTAATATTTGGTTTCCTTCATAAGGATATTAATCAAGAAATTATGTTGAGGACATATAGCATGAGGATTGCGCAATTGCGCGATGAGCATATCAAATATGACTCTATGATCTTTATCAAGTTGTGGGTTCATCAAGTATGCGTCATGTAATAATGTGAAATATGAAATTATGCATAATATGTTTATACAAATAAGAAAGAACCCTTTTTTGCTAACATGTAGATAAGAGAATCTCCATGGTATAGAGATCTTCAATAATCAACGTGGTGCACAAGCACAATAATAAAGTGCACAAAAGACATAATGAGAATAGCAAAAAAGTTGTTTGAATACTCAGTACTTAAATCGCGCAATAATTGTTGTTTATATCTCTAGCTCTCTAACCGCGCCTAAAGCTCTTAAGAACAGTGCAGGGCTCCATGACTGCCAAAAGGAGAAGACAAAAATCTCGCGTGAAACGCAGACAAACTCGAAAACAAATGCTACATTTCCTATCAGCAACATTATTATTTTGAACTGATTTAACATAATCTTGTTACAATTATCATCTCCATGATATGATGTTATTATTATGTGAGATCTGTGAAAATTGTAGGTTCTACCCAACAAAAGATATATGAACCTCGTCCACATCATGCTGATAGCGCCTAAAGCTCTTAAGCTTAGGTTTGAATGAAAGGAAGCTAATAAAACTTCCTCCAATGCGCAATGCGCGATGAAGATGAAAGGAAGCTAATGAAACTTCCTCCAAATAACAGGATCCTCCAATCAATAGGATCCCTCAAAAGGATCCTCCAATCACAAGGATCCCTCAAAAGGATCCTCCAATCTCAAAGATCCCTCAAAAGGATCCTTCAATCAATATGATCCCTCAAAATGATCCTCCACTCTCAAGGATCCCTCAAAAGGATCCTCCAATCAAGAGGATCCCTTTGAGGGATCCTCTAATCGAAAGGATCCCTTAAAAGGATCCTCTAATCTAAGGGATTTCTCAAAAGGATCCCCCAATCTCAAGGATGCCCCAAAAGGATCCTTCAATAATGAAAGGAAGCTAATAAAACTTCCTTTAAGCTCACTCGCAATGAAGATATTGAAATTCCTCCAACGCGCACTCAGGATCGAAGGAAGGTAAAAGCGCGATACTTCTGGCAAACATCAAGTCCAAACTAAGCGACATCAAACCTCAGAGCATGCAAAATAGAAAGGTATGCAAAATATATGAATTATGAACTGTATACAAGTGCAAAATACAATTATAAAGCTCTCAAGCACCCATACAAAGTACAAACCATAGTTTCAGATAAAGAAACAAGCGCAATGAATTTTATAGATTGATAAACAGATATGCCAGCTCGCAAACTTATACATCTCGCTACTCATGCCTTCGACATAAGCAACGAGCCGGGGGGCTTTTGATCTGGACAAATACTATACAAATACAAGGCTCAAAATACAAGGCCCAACCCAAAGGTCTTCACCATTGAGCAAAGTTTTTAGTCCACAAAGACTGCAAAGCCCATCTATCCAAGCTGCATAATATTAAAGACTCCATGACAGCAAGCACCATAATATTAAAGACTCTATGACAGCAAGCTCCTCAACATTTAATCATGACAGCCATACTACTTTGGCACCAACGAACCTTTGCCTTCACCATGAAGAAAGACATCTTCCAAGCACACATCACTTCATTATAAATACATGTATTAACCACAAGGTACATCATCTTCTCCTACATAAGAAAACCTGCTTGAACCATAACTGACTTGAGCGTCGTAGTGTCTTGCAGGTACACCCCTTATCTCGTTCCATAGAAGACCCATGGGATAAAACGGCCCAACTGCGAGATGCTCTGACCCAAGACAGTTCCAGGCTGTGTAGAGAAAGATCACATGATCGGCCTAGTTGTAAAAACCTGTTTCGATCAGATTGTAATATAGTTTGTGTTTGATTCTTCTCAATTCATAATTTTTGTTTTTTTATAGATACTAAGGAAAAAACTTATTCGATCCTAGATGATTGTGATCAATGTGGTATTTGTATGCTTGTGAAATTTATGAAATAGATGCCACAAGGGGTGGCATCACTGTGAACAAAGAGGTTTGAAACCAAAGAGGACTATGTGTGGTGTGTGCACAATAAAAGTTAAGATTATTAGGGATGAAAATGTGTGCACGTTTAATCCTTTATTTATAAAAAAGTAATTCGAAGGTGATATTGTTCAAGTGGAAGTCAAACTCTTTACGATGAGGTAACGGATTACATCCCTTGGGGGGCATTCGGCAGAAGATTTTTTTTAGGATTTCCGAAAAATTGAGAATGAGAATTTTATTTACCAACGTTTTGGTACGAAATTTTTAATTTTTTTTTCAGGAATTTAATTTTCTCGATATTTTATTTTGTGTGTAATTTTTTTTAAAATGACCTTATAAGAATTCCACCTAGGGGGTAGTATTTTGGGATTTTCATGGCAAGAAAAAATTTAACACAACCAAATATAATATCAGAAAAATTAACCCAACATTATCGAAAATATTTTGGCTTACCAAATAACTTTTGGGTAATATTCTCAGAAAACTCATTTTCCCATCATATTTATGGAAATCGTGATTCTTGGATAAAAAATATTCTTTTCTACCAAACGGCCCTTAATGTAGGTTTATATTGTCTTCTTGTCTTCCAAAAGTTATGAGACCCATAGGATGATTTCATAACAAAACATAATGTAATTTGATTTGGACGGGTTAAAAAATCTTGACATTTTATGTAGAATTTTAATAAGTGATGATTATACTTATTATCATTTTAGGTTTATCACCTTTACTACATGTTTGGTTACCGTTATATTAATTTGAAATTAACAATTGAAAAAAGGGATTAATTTGAAATCAACGGCTGAAAAAGATAAAAAATTAATTATCACTACTTTCAAATTGATTTAATGGTAACCAAATAGATAGTAAAGTTGTAAAATTAGAACAGTGATAAATATAATGTTCCCTATTTTAACAAGGTTAAAATCCCATAAACTTTTCCTAGACATAAAAATAATGCCAAAAATAGAATCCTCATCATACATTACATACAATAAATTTCCTTACGAGACCTGTATCAATATTCGCCTGGATTTTTACTGGTTATATGAATGCTAAAAATTCGACGACTTAAGGCATATTGCATGGCTATTTAACTATTTGGGGCGTTTTTATGTGTATTTTATATACTTTATACACCCGTAAAGTTATTTTTCAACGGAGGCGTTTGGTTCGGTGAAGTGAACTCGCATGATATTGTTAGGTGTTGCAGTAGAGGGAGAAGTGAGTACCTACTTTCATAAAATTAAATAACCCTGATGATGTTGAGTGATGGATATATAAAATTTTATTTATATCTGCATAGTTAGTGGCTGGGGTTCGGGGGCAGTGCCTCTGATTCTTTTTTTAAATACATTAAAAATTAAAAAATATAAATATGAAGAGAAAAAAAAACATTCACATATATCAAGTTTTGTTATTTCAAGACATTTCACGCATATCTCATTTTTTGTAAATGCTATCTCAAGCTAGAGAAAAGTACCTTTGTGGTCCTCAATAAATATCACGGAACTTAATTTAATTTCTTAGGAAAAAAAATTAGCTAGTGTTTTGAAATTCAAAAAAGACCTATGTTAGTACTTTTGAAGGACTTCTCTAAATTTCATAGGGACCACAATTTTAACAAATTGTATTTATTTTGAATTTTAAAGGATTACAAAATGATTTTTTATTTTCTAAAAGATTAAAATGAGCCCCATGATATTTTGTCGAGAACTCGAGAGATATTTTACTCTTCAAGCTATTAAAAAAAATCTAAATATTATTTTAAACTATTCACGTAGCAAATCATGCATTAGTTGAAATGGTTCACCAACTATTAACATATATCAAACTTTGTTATTTCAAACGATTTTTTCTTTTTGTATCTACACTTGTACACATAAACAAACCATGTAGGTCCGCCCGTGACGACATTGATGTTTTGGATTTGAATAGGATTGACTTTTTTGAAAAATACTTGTGATTTATTTAAATAAAAAATAAAAAATTGCCATGTTGGTACAAAAAAAAGAAATATTTTTATGAAATAAAAAAAGGAAAAAATAGATAAAATGAAATAAAATTTTAAAATTCGTGTGGTTCTCTTATAATCATTTATCAATATTCTTTTGATTTTGATCATTTCCTGATTTTTTATTGTTAATAGGACAAAATGAGAATATTAACTATATTTTAAACTGCCTTAAAGTTGGAACTTCGAATTAGATTAAAAAAATCATAAAATATAAGTGATTTTTTTTTAAAAACCTATATAAATAAGTGATTCTAACTTTTTTTTTTTGGTACATCAAGTGATTCTAACTTAAATCACGTGAGTTTTTGTTTATAAAAAAAAAAAAAACCACGTGAGTTTTTAAACTTTTTCTTACAAAAAAAAATAAAAAATAAAAGATCCCTCCAACTTCCAAATCCCAAAAACTTAAACCCCTCGATTGAAATCCAAAGGCTCGAAACACGCAATTTTCAAAATTCTGGCCGCGCCATTCAAATCCGTTTCTTAAATCTCAACGGTCCTCTCTCTCTCTCTCTAAATCTCCACCCTCTCTCTATATCTAAATCTTCACCCTCTCTCTAAATCTCCACCCTCTTCTCTCTCTCTCTCTCTTTCTCTTGAACCTTCTCTTCCCTCCAAATACCGAAATCCAAATTCAACAGATCCATGGCTCTTTCCTCTTCAATTACAGATATTGCATCTTCCAAGGACTGCACCTATAGCCGCAAGCAAAAATCCCTCGGCCTCTTGTGCACCAAGTATTATTCCCCTCGCCCATTTCTTCTCCCTTTCTCCTTCATTTCATTCATCAAATTAACGTCTTCCTTCTTTTGAATTGCAGTTTCTTGAGCTTGTACGATCGAGACACCGTCCACTTAATCGGCTTGGACGATGCCGCTGCTCGATTAGGTACTCATCAACGATGTTCTTGTTTCTTTCCTATGTTTTTTTTTTTTCAATCGGATCTAACACGCGTTCCTCTTCAGGGGTCGAGAGAAGACGGATCTACGATATAGTCAACGTTTTGGAGAGTATTGGGGTCCTTGCCAGAAAGGCGAAGAATCAATATACGTGGAAAGGTTTCGGTGCAATTCCAGGGGCTTTGCTGGAGCTCAAGGTAAATTTAATTTGTGTTCAGTTTTTGTTTCCTTATGGTTTTCAGATTCCTAGTTTGGCACTAGTTTTAAGTTTATAATGGTTTTGTAGGAAGAGGGTTTGAGGGAGAACCCCAATGTCTTCGATGGTGGAAATGACAATGCAAAAGTGAGTTGCATTTTCTTGGAATGCATCGATTTTCTTTTCGCTTGAATATTTTCTTCTTCTTTATTTTATGTTTCAGAATTGTTAATAGAGTAGTAATCAAGTGTGGCTAATTAATGTGTTGTTAACCATATATTTTAGGTGTCCGATGACGACGACGACGAGGAAATATTATCCAATCCCAGTACTGGAAGTCAGAATGGCGATTCGAATCCTCCTACTCTTGCTAGATCTCTTAGAAATGGTAACTTCTTTAAAATATGTCAAAAATACGATGCCTGTGTTTCTTTTTGAATCTTTGATAGTGAAAATGCCTTATTGTATAACCCCAGTAAGGACCAATATTATCAAACAAAAAAGTCATTTTTAAATCGAGCTTCTTTATTAAGTGTTAAAGGAAGATGATGTGATAATCACCTTTCAACGTAAGCAGATTAACAATACAATTAATTTTGAACTAAATTAAGGATAGAGTCATTACCAAATTGTTTAAATTTTGTAAGTATCCGTTGTTTTTTTGTTTTTGTTTGGGGGGTGGGTGCGTGTTCTATTGAGGGCAGTGGTGGTACATGGTGTTACATTTTGGGGTAATAATTCGTTCTCGTAATTTTTGTTTATGAAAGAGCTGTGATTAATGAAAGAATTTTCATAATGTACAACCATAATTATCAAATGCCGGTAGCTGTCCTGAAAATACTATAACGGGTATTGGTATAACGCAATAGCGAGTGCTATACATGAATTTGTTGTATATAGATATATTACACATAAATGCTTAAAAACAAAGATGAAATAGTGTTCTAATTATTAAATTCAGCAGAAACAATGTACTTAAAGTCAAAAAAACTTAACAAGAATTAGTACAAATATTTTTGGCTCACTAATTTTGAGGTACAACTTTAAATTATTATAAAATTCCAAACAAAGGAAGGCTATTTTCACTATACAAAGCATGAGGATTTCACTAATTTTAGAACAAAACTCAAACCGGAAGAGAGGAATGCCATCTTCATTTGTACAAATATGATAAGGAGTTTACAAAGGAGTAGTGTTAACAAAGAAAGCAGAAAAAAGGGAGAGAAAAAAAAAGGAAAGAAGAGAACCAAATAAAAAAAAGAGAGACCTGAAGGTCTAGAGTTTAGAGAATAGCCGGAAATGGAGAAAGAAGTTGGTCTTTGTTCTTTTCAAAACCAGAGAGAAATGAGAGAGAATGGTCGACTTATAAAGAGAGGAGGTTCACACTTCATATGAAAGATGGGTTAAAAAGACATTTAAAATATGACAATTGGGACTTTAAGTGGAGGGTAAAAACTAAAACATTCACTCCTTCTCTGTAGTGGCTCTATTGTGCTGCAATTGGCCGCGATTTGACTGCAATAGCTGCTGTTATCGTGAAGTGTAGCACAACGGGGTGGCCAATAGCGGAAGGTGGCACTGCATGCTATAGTTGCGGTATAGCGTGCGAAAGTGGCTCTATTGATGACTGTGTAAAACATAAACAAACTTAGCTTAAGCTTGTTCCAATGAGGATTGACACTGCTTATACAATGTTTGCAGATAATCGAAGAGAAAAATCTCTGGCGCTGCTTACACAGAATTTTGTGAAGCTCTTTGTCTGCTCTAACGTGAGGGTTACCATAAGTTTCTTGGACATTTTAAGTTGATGTATCTTTTTATTAGCCATTTAACATATTTGATACGTTAATATTAACAATGATCACTCTATTCTATAGATGGACTTGATCTCCCTTGACGAGGCTGCAAAATTGTTACTTGGAGATGCCCATAACTCATCAATAATGAGAAGTAAGTAATATGATGTTTTACGAAACTTGTTTGTATCTATTGACTAAGGAAGAAGGGTGAATGATTTTCGCTGATATTCCCCATTTCGCCTTTCAGCAAAAGTTAGACGCCTGTATGATATTGCAAATGTGCTATCCTCCATGAAACTGATTGAGAAGGTGATATTCACCACAGTTTTCATATCTTTTATTTATTTATTTTAAAATTTACCATGAAATATGAGTGTGAGAGCGAGTGTTTCACATATCCTCTTCTTCTATTGATTTGTCTTAGTATATATTTTATATTTTAAGGCTTACTGTTATAACTGTTTTGCTAATTGTATTTTCAGTTAGTGGAATTGTATCTTTCTGTTATTGGTGCTGTGTGCACCTTTCTGTCGGGCCTCTTGTGCTGATACACGCCATTCTGTTATGGCTTCCTTTCTTGCATAAATTTCCTCCTGTATGCTCCTTTTCAGAATGAATGAGAAATATGCATTTTCAGTTTTATCACTTTTCTTCTCTCTGTTTTCTGGTTTATCATAATTAATATGGTATCAGAAGTATCCTTTAAGCCCTTGCCCTTCTCCATGGTCCGTGGCAACAACACTAATTGCCTTCCCAAACTGATTCTTCTTCTGGTTCATCAGCCTCCATGGACGACACTTATAGTCCTTAGTTTTTACACAGTGGTGATCATCCCGGTTTGATTTTAGTTTTTCATACTATTTCCGGTTCTAATTTTTGGCATCCCGCTATGCTTCTTGCTCTGACAGCCAAGAACAAATTATCCTTTGTTGATGGCTCCTTACTGACATATTACACAGCAAATTCAGGTTTAAAAAACCTTGGTTGTTTAAAGTATTTTCTTGGTCTTCAAGTTGCTAGCAGTTCCAAAGGCATTTTTGTTTGTCAACGTCACTATGCTTTGGAGATCCTCAAGGATTCTGGTCAGTTAGGCTGCAAACCTCGCACAACTCCCACATGGATGTTGGTCTTCGGCTTTAATCTACTGATGATGATCTTATCTCAGACCCTTCTTTGTATCGCAGACTTATTGGACGTCTTCTTTATCTTACCATTATTAGGCCAGACCACTACACTATGCTGTTACTTATCTAAGTCAATTTATGGCCTTTCCTCGTGTTCCTCATCTTCAGGCAGCCCATAGGCCCCTTGGATATGTCAAACATACTATTGGATAGGGACTCTTCTTTTCTTCATCTTTTGTTCAGCTAAATGCTTTCTGTGACTTTGATTGGGCTATTTGCCCTGCTACCCGATGCTCAATTTCTGGTTTCTGCATTTTTCTTGGTGATTCTCTCGTCTCCTGGAAGTCTAATAAGAAACAACACACTATGTCCCGATCATCTACAGAGGCAGATTACAGGTCAATGGCAAATGTTACATGTGAATTATTATGGTTATTTTCTCTGCTAAAGGACTTTCATGTTTTACACTCGGGTCTTGCTCATCTTTTTTGTGACAATCAGTCTACTCTTCATATAGCAGGAAAACCTGTGTTCCATGAGCGTACAAAGCACATTGAAATCGATTGCCATATTGTTTGTGAGCACATTTTTTAAGGGTCATTTGAAGATTTTTCCCGTTCCATGATCTTTTCACAGCCCATTCTTCCCTCCAAATTTTCAGTTCTGGTATCCAAGATGGGAGTTTTGAATATCTACTCTCCATCTTGAAGGGGGTTCTTAGTATATATTTTATATTTTAGGCTTACTGGTATAACTGTTTTGCTAACTGTAAATTTCAGTTAGTGGAGTTGTATCTTTCTGTTATTGGTGCTGTGTGCACCTTTCTGTTAGGCCTCTCGTGCCGATACACGCCATTCTGTGATTTTCTTGTATATATTTACTCCAGTATGCTCCTTTTCCGAAGGAATGAGAAATATGCATTTTCAGTTTTATCATTTTTCTTCTCTGGTTTCTGGTTTATCATAATTTATTTGTTTAATATTATTGTTGAACTTATACTGTCCTTTCCTTAAGCTGTGATTCTACAAATTGATGCAGACCCATACGACAAATACAAGAAAACCAGCATTCAGGTGGCTGGGGTGTAAAGGGAAGAAATGGAATGAGTCACTTCACAACTCAAATGTCAACGAGTCTAGGAAAAGGGCGTTTGGAAAAGATATCACAAATATCAGTTTTAAGAATAATAAAACGGATTTATTCATGAATGGGGACTTAGCCCAGAACCCTAAGAAGCAAAAACTGGATAATGGTAGTGACCTAGGTCAGGCGGATAAAAGCAATTTAGAACAAGGCTCAGAACAGGCTTCAAAGTGCTATCAGTTTGGTCCTTTCGCTCCAGCCTACGTGACCAAAGTTGGAGCCTCTGAGAATCGGGCGCATGATTGGGAGAGTCTCGCAACTGAGCATCGCCCTCGGTATGAAAACCAAGGTAATAATAACACAGTCAAATATGAAGTTTTGTTTGGCATTGTCCATTATACATTCCAGCCAATTGCCTCTTTGAAAAAAAATGCAAGTAAAATGCAAGGGTAAATGGTAAGGGTGTATGTAAGAATTTCGTCACTATCTTGCAAGTTGGAATATTATGGGAGTGTTTTTGGCTATTCACCCATTGTTCCATATTGCATGTAGTGATTGTTTGATTCTCTGATTCAACCGGTTCATCAGTTACGCAGGTTGATTATAAGCTTCATTTAACCTTTACTAATCAGTACCTCGATTACTGATATGTTTAATGTTGCTGAAAATTGATGTTCGATTTACTTTTTCATGCCAGCATTGAGAGAACTCTTCTTCCATTACGTAGAAGCATGGAAATCGTGGTACGCTGAAGTCGCCGAGAAGAGGCCATTGCAAATTTTGTGACTTCTATTAACCAACGTTAAATTATCGCTTTCTCAGAAGAGATGATCCATCGTTGGATGCATTTTCTCCATGTGGCAGCTTAGAATTTACCATTTGCGGGGTATTTTAACCGTGATGCTTAGCCTAAGAAGAGATAATCCATCGTTGGATGCATTTTCTCCATGCGCCAGCCGAGAGTTTACCATTTGCGGGTTTTTAAACCGTGAAGCTTAGCCTCAGATCAGCTTAGGCAGTGATTGCAAAATCTTTACTACATTTGTTTATTAGAGCTTCAACCCTTTTTGAAGGGAAATCTTGTACGCTCCGGCTCCGCAGTTGTTAATTTAAAGAGAAATAAAATTCATGTGATTTTTCAGAGTTTGTTAGTTTTTTCTTTTAATGAATTCTAAGGTCGTGGAGTGAGCTCACAAGCACACTAGCGTCTTTTGGTAGATGGATTCAAACTGATATTGGAATTCAGTGTACCCAACTTCTGTTATAAGGATTGTAAATTTTTTTTTGGCAAATATTAGATTCTCAGGAATTTTTGTGAAGGAAAATGCATCCAAGAATACCACCAGCTAGATTCCCGCGAGGTGAGAAAATTTTCCACATTTTTTTGAACAAAAATTTCCTTAGCTTCTCTTTCTTTTTTTATTATTTGTACTGTTTTCATCCCTTAAGGTGGAACATCAAACAACGGATTGGTGGAGATGGAGGAGTGCGGTGGTGGAGCACACCATGTGAACGACGTCAGGAGCAGTGTGGGTCTTGCTGAGCGCTGCTACTTTGACCAACAGTTCGCGATGACCCTCTTTGCTTGCGGCAACAGCGAGTTCTGCAACACGGTGGCCGGTGGCGGTGTGCACTGACGGAGGTTGCGCGATATCGGTTTCAGGGTGGTTTGCAATGTGGATGAAGGCTCTCTGTGGTTTGTCGGATCTTTGCTAAGCAGAGGATGATGATTTTATCTCTGTTTCCTTTTGAGAAACTCCCTCTCTAAAATACTCTCCCTACGAAAATTTTCGTGTTCCCCTTTTGTAAACTCAAAGCCAAATGGCTTTTGTAATATTTCATCCTCTGTTACAGATTCTTTTTTCTGGTATTATACATTTCTGTCATCTTTTTTGTTAATTTTGTTAGTTTGCTTTCTGTTGAAATTTTTTTGTGCAGCGTTCGCAAGGCTCATAAATTTTGTTCAAACCGTTTTGTCTTATTCAATTGGATGCCTACACACTTCTACATTTAGCAGAGAGGAGAGAATTGATACAAGGAGGTTCATCCAGTTCTTTGAAATGTCATAGTTTCTCTGTTTTTTTTTTAGGAAGCAAATGCCAATTTTATAAAATCAACCCATATTTTCGACAATATTTGACATTTCTGATAATATTTTTATCTATTAAATAATTTTATGATAATATTCTCGACAAATTTACTTTTTAAGAGGAATAAATTTTTTTCTCTTTAACCAAACTTCCCCTAAAAGGATTTACTGGTTCTACGGAATTTTTTAATCCTGTGTCTGTTTGTTTTCTTCACTTTGAAAGAGCCTGCAAAATCATTTTTAACAAAAATATGAAATAGAAGTGCATGCAAAGTGGTTTGATTGGAATTTAAATTCGAAATCAAAAGTCTTTAAATTTTTTTTACTGTCCGCAATTTATTTGTGTAACTTCTCTAGTAAATCACAATTGTCATTAACTTCTTTATTGACAGTTATACCATATATAAAACACTTATAAAAAAAGGGTGGCGTGGATAGCGGGAATGATATTTCAGTATGAGCGATCCAGATTTGAGAAAAGTCTATCGTGATGATGTTCAAATATTCGAAAAATGATGGAGTGGTCAGCCATAACTAAATTAGAGAAAAACACTACCAGCATAAGCTTGACTGCAAACCAGTTCCGCGTGATACATAGACATTTTATGTCTTCCCGACTTTTGGATCATAATCATAATTTGGTATCACCTACACTTTATTCGATGTCAGATTTTAGAACATCAATTTATCATCACTTTACAGCGATACCTATCACAGCTTTGAAGGAGACTGGTACCAGCCCCACGGTTCATCGGAGATATACTGAGTCACCTGCTTCACACTCAAGTAATTATCAAGTCCCCTGAAAAAAAATTATTTAAAAAAAATAAATTATACTCAGAAGCTCAGAAAAGATAACCTTAGCAACATTTTTATTTTCCAGATTTACAAATAATAGAGGTGGAGGTATGTTTTCTCTATTGCGATTGTGCAAGCGTTTATGAAATTGTGCCAGCTTCAAACCAAAGGAACCTGCAGCTGGCATAAACTCACCCAGCCATAGGGGAAACTAGAATTGTATTTTATTCTAGTTCACTGACTTTTTATAAATATTATTAACAAGTGTGTCAGGGCACCACAATCCCTATGATTTATAATTACTCCAATTCTACAGGTCAAGAGCTGCACCAGTGCCATGATCTGTTCACAGCTTTATTAACTGTTAGATTGAGTTTGGTTGTACAGAATCTGATGGTCAATAAGCTGTCATCAGGACATGGTACTTAATTTATAATTATGGGTTTCTTGTGCAGATTAAGATGTTGTGATCACCTATCCAGGGAAAAGAAAAAAAAAGAACAAGAAAAAAAGGCATTCAAGGTGACTTTTGCATTTGCTAATTTCGGGGATAAGGACTGTACCATTCTCCTAATTCACGACCAAAGCCACTACGTTTAATGCCTCCCCATGGGGCCTGAGTGAAGCATGGTTGAGAGCAATTGACCCATACAATTCCAGCCTTAAAAGCCTGCATTGCAGCAAGATAAACTATTCAATTACGGAAACAATCCAATTATTTTTTTGTTTACAGTGATAACCTAGGATCAGTCTCACCTTTGTAATGCGCTCACATCTTTCTAGATCATTTGATATTACAGCAGAACCTAAGCCATAGCTGTGTAACATCAAAATATATGACTTAGATATCAATCCACAAATGAAGGAAAAAACAGTTTACAGATTAAGTTAATGTCAGTTCACAGAAGATCATCAACTCACACAGTGTCATTCGCTAGATCAATAGCTTCTTCCTCAGTGCTAAATGTTTTTACACACAGAACAGGTCCAAAAACTTCTTCTCTCCAAATTTGCATGGAAGTAGTCACATCAGTTATGATGGTTGGTTCAACAAAGAATCCCTTCTTTAGATGCTGCCATTGAATTCAAAAAAATATTCAATTCTCACAACTATTGCAGAAGTACATAACTGAACACACTTACAAAGAAAGTATAATCATACCTCTGGGCGAGACCCACCAGTTAAAATGGTTGCACCCTCACTCTTGGCATTCGAGATAAACTTCATTATTTTTTCGTACTGAACCATATAAATATTACATGTTGCATAAGCATAATCATTTTTTAAGACAAATATGCGTATATCGATAAAATGTTTGAAGTTAAGAAACCTAAATCATGGGAACATATACAATGATCAGGAGAAAGGTTATATATATATAGCCAAACAACCAATAATGCAATTTAGAAAACTTTTATATTACTCCAAACCACATGTAACTCGATCATAATTCATAATCATTAGTGATATCATATTTATCAATACATTTTCATTTTCATTATTGAAGAAGGCATTTGAACATACAAAAACATACCCGTCCTTTACCTTTCAAAGGGAGTAGGACGTAAGTTAAGTATATATATAGTACATACAGAAACAGAAATGAGAAACGGCAAATATACCTGTCCTTCACTAACAACAGGGCCTAGCCTGCAACCTTCTTCCAAGGGATCTGAAATTTTGATGTTTTTGACCCATTTCACAAGCCTATTCAAAAATTCTGTTGCTATACTTTCCTGAAATAATAACAGTATCCTAGTTTATCAGTTTTTGCATATGAATGCTCACAGAATTCCTACCGAGTTGTCCGACAAATCTACCACAATTGCAGTTAATATGACAATTCCCATATACCAACAGAAAATATAAAAAAACGAAGTTACAAAATCTTGTTTGTGAGCATGCACATACGTTATAAAAGGAGTGTGACCTATCTTACATGTACAATAAGGCGGGAAGTTGCACTGCATATCTGACCATTTGTCCAGAAGCAGCCAAAGATGGTCCATTCAGCAGCTGTTCAAATCATTGGGAAAGTATCAATAAATCAAGCAACAGGTTATAGATTAAAAGAATTTACTCATCTTCAATCAATATTTGACGAAATGTGATTCCACAATGCAAGAAAATATAGGCTGTCCATAACTAAATAACTATACTTGAGAAGGCACTGACCCTTATCAAGGTCAACATCCTCAAAAACGATGATTGGGCTTTTTCCACCGAGCTCTAATGAAACGGGCTGCCAAAAAAATCACAAATTTGATATTACAGGAACTCATGAAGAAACGAAAATGAAAATATGAAAGTAAAAAAAAGGCTTCCTAACTCTTACTGAGTGTGTGTTTTTTCATTTATATGAAATCGGAAGGACAATATGAACTGTACATAATTTGCAGATAACATTGCTTAAAAATACCTTGAGCAGCTGAGCAGCAGCTGTCATAATCTTGCTCCCAGTTACAGAGCTTCCAGTAAAGGCAATCTGTTTGAAACGTTAAACGTTGGCCATGTTGTCAAAGTAGCTTCGCATATTTAAAAGACAACAAAGTAACAATACATGCAAGACATGAAACAAGATATAAACCCATATAATTTCAATTCTATTAAAAACTAAAGGCAATTGAACCTTGTCTACATCAGGATGGGATGCTAAAGGAGCACCAGCTTCAGGGCCTAATCCAGTGAGAATGTTTAATACACCTGGAGGAAGGCCCACTTCTCTGCATATTTCACCGAGCTCCAAACAGGTCCTAAAATAGTACATAATACAGCTTGAGAAACCAACAAAACACAGAAGCAAGATTACAACAGTGGATGAGAACATACACAGATGCCAATTCAGACGGCTTCAATATCGCAGCACAACCAGCAGCCAGAGCAGGAGCAACCTTCCACGTAGCCATTAACATAGGATAATTCCTAAAACATCATTTAAAATTGGGCACTGACAACACTCAACTAGCAATTCGTAGCATCGTTTCTTACAATGACCAAATGTAGCCATATGCATGCATAGTCTTTAAGATGCCACGTGCAATATCAATTTTGACAACCCATTAAAACTAAAGATTGTTCAGTTCAGCACAAAATCATGCAAACAAACAAAACCGTGCTTTACAGTTATTAATCAAACATGTAAATTAAAGCATTAGCTAAAGGAAATAAGCACTAGTTTTTTTTAAAAAAAATTACAACAAGATCAACAAATGATGGAGCGGAAGGAGGTACCATGGTGTTATTAATCCAACAACCCCAATGGGTTCCTTAAGAACATAACTCCTGAATGTATCCATTGGAAGAGACACAGGAGCTTTTTGTTTGGAATCCAATTTTTCTGCAAGATCAGCATAGAACTCAAAGCAACCAGCAACATCATCCTACATAAATCAAACCATACCATAAAATTAAATAACCAAACAAAGTGTTGTTTCTTTTATTATTATTATTATTATTATTATTATTATTATTATTCGGATGTGAGAATGTTATTACCATGTCCCATGCGGCTTCATCAAGTGGTTTTCCACAATCAATGGCTTCAAGTTTTGCTAACTCAGATTTTTTCTCAGTAACCTTCGCAGCGATGGCGCGTAGATAGCGTGCACGAACAGAACCAGAAGCGCAAGCCCAGTCAGCGCCTTTGTTACGAGAGAAGGCAGTTTTTGCAGCTGCCACTGCAAACTCCGCATCTTCCTTAGTAGCCGCTGGAATATCCCCTGAACACCAACAATAAGGTACGCATGCATGTATCGGATTCAGATCTCAAATTTAACGAAAACAAAAAAAGAAGAAGAGAAAATAGAAAAGAGAAAGAGAAAAATAACCGATGATCTGTTGATTGGAAGGGTTAATGATGGGAATCCGTTTGTTCAGAACGGGAGCTTTCCACTCTCCGTTTATGAATAACTCTCGTCTCGGAATTTCGATATTCATTTTCTCTGATCTCTCTCTCTCACTCTCACTCTGTGTTTGTGTATTATTCAATTTGACTGTTTAAGTGTAAATCAGGTTTTCTCTTCGACGGGTTTTTTCCATTTCTTTTCTTTTCTTTTCCCACTTTCGTGCGTTCTCGCTGTGCCATTTGGATTTTTTATTTTTTGTTTTTGGTTGTGTTACGTACAAAAAAAATGAAATGAATTGAAATTGTTAATCTATACTGTGAGCAATACTTTTTTTTTTTTTTTTTAATCTTTCACGTAAATAAGGACTCCAACCGTCTACCTCCAGTGAGATTCACAATAAACATAATCTTTTCTTGCACATGGAATGTGGACATATGATAAGTTCGATATGTATTATATTATGATACAGGTTGCTACAGATTTACTCTAACGGAGAAACAATTATATATATATATATGATTAAACTAGATGTACTGGAAACTCAAATAAAATTATAATTTTAATGATATGACTAAGATTTTTTTATATATGCCATTGGACTCACGTGGCATATCAGGCAACAATTGCAAATTTTTTTACAAATACAAACGGTGGACGGCATCTATCTATGATCTACTTTATGGCTACCGTCCAAATCAATTTCCTGATCCCGAAAGAGATTTAAGGGTGTGTTTGGTACATGAGAAATTTTTTGGTGATCGGGAATCATGATTAATGAGAATTCAGTAGAAATTGAGTTTACTTGGAATCTTACGAAAGATGTGTTTGGTTCGCCAAAATATTACCGGGAATATTGGGTAAAAATTACTAATTTCATATTTGGTTTAGAACGAAATATGACTTGGAATATGAGGTTATTTTACAAAAATAACCCCAAACTATTTTTACTTTTGTAATTGATAGATTGGGTCTAGATTTTTATGTGTATTGGAGTATTTTTGTCTCAAAATTTATTGTTGTGCTTTCCTTTCACTTGGTATTCTGATTGGTATTCCGAATTACCATATTATTTTTGGTAATCTGAATAGTGACTTTTCTTTATAAATCAAATTACCGGTAATCCTTGAATATCCGGGAATTGTAATTTATTCCTTCTACCAAACGTGGTAATTATATTTACCAAAGAAGGATTACCGATAATCCTCTATGGCTATCCATCACCAAATGACTAATGCTATATTCACAAACTCCAAAAGGAACCTATCGCTTCTTTTTTTCTTTCTTTCTAAAATTGCGACTAAGCAAACATGGGTGCGCTGCCCTAGGTTGGAAGGTTGCGGGTGAGGACCACATGGAAATACTTATACTTATACTACTACCCTTTTCTCAATTCACTTTATCATTTTTTTTTTTTTTTTTTATGACACTTTATCATCTTTGTGTGGGGAGAGTTTCTTGTTTCATTATTTTTTTTAATATTGGAAAAAGTGGCAACCATCTTACGAGGACTACGAAATTTAAAGATTAGATGGTTATAATACTCTTTGAAAATAATAAATTTCCCGTTGAGAATAAGACTAGTGGCGGACCCAGAAAAATTTGTTTATGTCCACACGTTTAGTGGCAGGTGCTCCCAAATTTTTTTTGTAAAAAAAGTTTAAGTTAACGCTTAAACTTGCTCATAATCTAGTTGCTTCCATAACAAGCTGCAGGCAATATTTTGACCCATCATTTTTTCTCTTAAATCTTACCAATCCTCCAAAACAAATATGAAAATATACTTAAGTACATCCATACATCATCATTTTATTCTATTTTATAGTGGTGAATAAAAAAGTCAACACTATTTGTACAGAAGACAAGCAAAATCACACTGAAGGCCTTGTCTAGAAAGGAAACAAAGGAGATGAAGAGAGCGTGAGAATGGGTACATGGTAGGGGAGGAAGAGAGCGTTGCTACGTTATTTTAATCATCTCCGTACGTTGCTAACTAATATAAGAATAAATATCATTTTTGGTCTCCAACAAAAAATTCGGTACTCACTTTAGTCTATTATAAAAAAAAATAGTTACCTAGTCCTTATGAAATTTAAAGTGAACTCATTTTAGTCTTTTTGAGTAACTAATGTAGGTCTTTTTTGAATTAGTGAGGAACCACGATTTTAACTAAATTGATTCACTTTGAATTTCGTAGGGACCTCGAGACTAATTTTTGATAAGAGACTAAAGTGGGGACAATGTTTTTTATTAGAAACTTAAAATGATATTTACTCCTAATATAAATATTGAATCAACATACAAATAAATACCTACAAAGCTAAAAAAAAAAAAAAAAAAAAAAAAAAAAAATCCAAAATTTTATGTGGGCACTTGCGGACATTTGCCCATGGCTGGGTCCGCCAGTGAATAAGACAATACCACTGCTTAGCTGATTTGGTCACATGACTCACATTATTATCCTAATTCCTAACCTTTGTGATACAGTCAGCGTAAACTATTCTTTAAATGTTAACATAATAATTTTTCAAAATATGTTTTTTCTTTAAATTGGTATTTGAAAAATTAGTTATTGTCTAATCAGCGTAAATTGATTTTTTGAATGAGAACTGGTTTTTTCAATTTAGTTAATAAAATTAAGAGAAATATTTTTTTCATGTTGCATAAAATTTTTATCTCATGTTACACACTCATCCGTCGAAATCGGAGTCAATATTATTATTTTTTAGTTGTGAAACCCACTTAATTATGTCTTTATATGAGACAATGCTATCTCATGTAACATGAGAAAAATATAACCCTAAAACTAAACTATTTTTTTAATATAACGGTGACACTGAAATTTGAATCTATCACTTATGTAAATTACTCAAATCTTTCACTATTTGATCATGGCTTAAAACTGAACAATTTTATTTTTGATCGAACCAGTTTTTTCATAGCAAACGCCTCCACTTTTTTTATTTTGAAAAAAAAAAGGCTCAAATCTTTGAATAGCCCAAAGCCCAAACTCATCCTTTCTTAAAACCCAAGTACCTTCAAGCGGTTCATGCCAAAATGAAGTGCTCCTTTTTTTTTTGGCAACTTGAACAGAGGAAGCTACTCAATATTGGGGGTGTCTTAGATTTAATGTTTGGTGGCCCGCTTAAAAATGTAAAATTCGTTTTTGTCACCCTAAGTTAATTTTTTTTACATCGCCTTTACAAGCAATGTATTCTTCCGTCTAAAAACATTTATATATTGAATCTAATATAAATTGATAAAGTGGGTTTTAAAAGATATTTACTTATTTTTATATATATATATATATATATATATATTAAATTGATGTAAGACTAATTTTGATTTATACTAATGCCAATGGATCTTCTCGCACACGTACAGGCATATACAAACACATGCACATACGATTCCTTAAAAAATAATACAAGTTGTCAACGAGAGTTAGTTGAATTGATAAGATCGGACAACATTAAAAAAAAAAAAAAATTTTGAATTCAATTTTTATTAGTAATATTTTATTGATACATTATCTGTAAATATTATTATGTAAGTTCTTATTCAAACTGCTGACATACTTTTTGTTGTTGTTGTTGGGTAACTTGTGACATTAATACAAGAATGTTACGATCTCTCTTCTACGGTATATGTCTTTAATACATATAGGACTTTATTCTACGGTATATGTCTTTAATACATATAGGACTTTATTCTCTTGTCGTGGCTTGATATCCAGCAAATAAATTTAGAAAATTATAATTATATAAAAGTAGGTGAAAACATTAAATGTGAAAAATTATAACTAATCAACAATGTAAGATTTATGGCTGAACGCATAGCCGTCAGAGAAATAATTATATATATATATATATATATATATATATATATATGATCTTTTGTTTAGTAAAAAATTACTTATGCCGTCATATTATTAATTTATTGTTGTACGAGTACGACTAACTAACCAGGGAAAAAGAACTTTGAAGATTTCAAACCAGTCCTGTTAGCAGAGTTTAATTTAGCGCACATGTCTTTTATGATTCTCAAGCATGATGCTAACATGGGAAGACTCAAGCAAAATGCAATCTGACCGAAAATTGGATGTATACATATATACACACACGTAGAAAATGTATAGCTAGGTGAAACTAATCAACACAACGAAACTAATACACAGAAGCAGCCATATGGATCATACTACACATCAAGAATTAATGAATTCAAAGGCCAAATTGAAAGAGTAACATAAACAAATCAATTAAACAAAGACAAAAACAAATCGATATACAAAAAGACGTTTGAACAGAGAGATTTAATGTTTCTGGGTGGTTTTGGAATACTTGGTCTTGATCCAGTTGAGGCCAACGGAGGTACCATCCTTGAACTTCTTCATGCCAGTGGAGGCCACTGCTTTGGTCTTCCCTAGACCCTCCCCTAGCTTTTGCTTGTATTTGGCCGTGGCAGTACCGTTGCTCTTCTTGTTGGAGTTATTGAAACCAACCATCTCAGGGTCTGGACCATCGTCCCATTGGTCTGCCCAAGAAGTTCCATAGGAGCTGTTGCTGTTGCTGTTCATTTCTTCTTAAGTTCTGAGGAGTTCCACCAAAAAATATGAACTTGAATTGAGGGATTAGGAGTACTAAGATTTATGGTTGTTTCCAACACAAGTCCAATTCAATGCTTATATAGAGATATATAGGCACATTTTCTAGCAGTTGATCAAGAAATCAACTAACTACATATCCAAATGCATGGGTTAAGGACTGACTTAAGATTATGAAAACGTGTGCATTTTGGCACGTGAAATCGATTGCCTTAATTTATAACTATAATTTATAGGTCAGGATTATATTTATAAATACTTTTTTTTACGAATTACATTACCTATTTTGGGAGTACATATTATAATTTATAAGAAATTTGTAAATAAAAAATTTATAAATATAACTTATCTCTAATTTATAATAATATCGCAAGATTAATAGTTTATGATCCATTGCTAGGACAGCTGGATAATTTCCCGCGATCATGTTCAACAAAGACGTCTGAATGGAAACTTCGATTCCTAGAGAAGTTTATTTGACCAATTAACAAATTATACTTTTTTGTTTTTCTGGAAGTTTTTGACCAACATAGATTGGTCCTCCA